CAATTTTAAAAATTTTAGGCTTCATGGACACCCTATATATATCAGAAATAAAATTTTATAATAATTCTATTTAGTAGCACAAGGGTATTATGATATTACTGATTCTATATATCTGTTTAATTTTTGTTCAAATGGAAACATCATTTTGGGAGATAAACGAGTAAAACTGCATATTACAATTGTCCTGTGCTGATAAGAAATTTTGGTCTTCAAACCAACCCTTTTAAGTGATGTAGTAGTGAGGACTCGCCTTGGTTTCTATTTTTGATTGTTAACAATAAATATATTCTTATGATTCGGGAGAAATGTTTTCAATTCATTTTTGGAGACGAGTAGTGATATAATATCATATTCATAGTTTTCAAGAGTCTTGAAAGTCTAAAAACCTGTTTCAAGTTACTAGGAATTGTTTTGTATACAGAAAACAGAAAAATGCTTTTTTTTCACATTTTAAATAAGGGGGTTCTGACCCTTGAAACCCTAGTTACGGGGGTAAACTCATTGCATTGAGAGGTTCCAAAACCGTTTCAAGATGCTACAAATTGTTATGTATGATACAGAAAGTAGGAAAATGCTTTTTTACATTCCACGGCCCTCAAAACCCATGGCTACGCTCTTGGTAATGAGGGGGAACTCATTAAGATAGTCTAAAAATCGTTTCAGGCTACTAAAAATTGTTATGTATGATACAGAAAGTAGGATGCTTTTTTACATCCCACGGCCCTCAAAACCCATGGCTACGCTCCTGGTAATGAGGGGGAACTCATTAAGATAGTCTAAAAATCGTTTCAGGCTACTAAAAATTGTTATGTATGATACAGAAAGATGCTTTTTTTACATTTTAAAAGGACGGGATTCCGTCCCTCAAAACCCTTGGCGACAAGAGTAAAACTCATTTTGGGGGTCTAAAAATTGTTTTAAGCTACTAAAAATGCTCTTTTTTTACAATTTAAAAGAGGGGTTACGACCCTCAAACCCCTGGCGACGAGGGTAAACTCATTTTGGGGGTCTAAAAATTGTTTTAAGCTACTAAAAATGCTCTTTTTTTACAATTTAAAAGAGGGGGTTACGACCCTCAAACCACTGGCGACGAGGAAAAACCCATTGAATAATGTGAGGTAGCTGACCTCAAGTAGTATCAATTTTTTTGCTGAAATAAAACTTATGGTCCTCATTCTATATAACAGTGGTTCTTTTGGTGTTATGAAGCCCGTGAAGAGGTTGACTGCAATTTACAGTGCCCCCAAATTTGACACTTGACAAACATATTAATAAAGTCAAAATGTGGAAACAAGACAGTAATTAAAACATTGCATTATCTATTGGCACTTATAAATGATGTTATATTTGAATTCTTGTTATCATTGTCAAAATTTATTGATGCCGTTATTGTTTATCCAGTGTTCAGAAGATTAGAGTCATTGCCTTGACCAGAACTCTTATGTGAGTGACTTGATCCATTCAAAATTAAATGAGTCGAACTTGCACTCAAGAAACCATCGGTGTCACCCAGTTCAATAATTGACCTCACTCAAGTCTGGATAAAGGAAGGGGGTTTTAAAAATTCTCAAAGGAGGGGGGTTTTAAAATTACTTGTTTTCAAGTTAGACTTGTGGGTGTTCAGGAGTTCCAAGGGTCTAATAGACGTATGTTGCATACATTTCAAATCGGGGTTCCGACCCTTTTACATAGAAAACTTCATTAGACGAATTGGACTTTTCAAAAATTCTTCAAGGGTAAGGGTACCACTACCACCTCTGCACTGTCTAATAGCATACCAATTATTTCAAGTGATTGAGCAAATTTAAGACTTATAGGTTGCAGAGTTTATTACTTTCCATGCCATAATATTGAAAAAATATAAAATCGTGAAAAGCGAAAAAAATTCAAAATCAGATAAATGGTAATTCATTGATGACTTTAGTAAAATATGTGAACTCGTTATTATCCGTTTAGATTCAGATATTTCCATAATGTGAGAATCGATGCACGAAAAGATTTAAAAAAATGTATAAATGTATGAGAATAATCATGAAATCACACATAATGTAAAATTTAAATATTCTTCACAGCATATACAAGAATATCAAAAAAATTAATCACACTAAAATAAAACACATGAGGAATTGACAATCACAAGAGGAAATATGGCATCGATTTGTCGATGTGTGAGCCAAGATGGCGGACACCGAAATCTAGTATGTGTAACAGGTTAGGTTGGGACATAATTTTATTCCAATTTTTTCTTATTCTAAGTCGGGGACTAGCCAAGTGACTCCCGTATGATTTGTACCTGAAATTATGGCCTAACCCTAACCTGGTACACATACTACGTTCCGGTGTCTGCCATTTTGGTTCACATACTACAGGAGTACCGATTTGTCTAACAAATTGTGAAAGCATTAGGAATTATAGTGGTTCATAAGGGGTTACTAAATATCGAAAATACACAAAAGTAGAAAAAAACATGGGATAGAACATATTTGAATGAAATTTAATGACAATTTCTGACAATGTTAGGAAAGTGCAATGTTACTTAATTCACCTTAAAGCAGTACACAATGATGATAAAGCACCAACAAAACATGACTCAGATAAAAGCATGACACAGCAGATGAAATACAAATTTTGATGCTCCTGTAGTATGTGCACCAAGATGGCGGACACCGGATTGTAGTATGTGTACTAGGTTAGGGTTAAGCCATAGCTTCATGCCATTTTTCCCTAATTTTAGTTCTATTGCGAGTTCTGGGTATGGCCAAATGACTCTAATAGTATTTGTACCTCTAATTATGGCCTAATCCTAACCTGGTACACATACTCCGTTCCGGTGTCTGCCATCTTGGTTCACATACTTCTGGAGTACCCAAACTATATAAATTGCCACATAGGTCGACTCAGGTCACTTTACATCGAAGACTCACAATGACGAGAGTCATTTAAATCAGGGTTTCCAAAACTTTTCGGGCCACGGACCCCTTTTTGTGAATCTTACTTTTGATGGACCCCCATCCTATGACATATCAATTTAAAAGCCTAACCAACAAGACGTATATTTTTTCATTTACAACACAAAAGACATTATTGTGATGGATGAGGTTGCATTTCACTGCACAAATGGCAAGGACAGAAAATGCTGCCTCACATATGTAGGTTGTTACAAAAGACAATAAAATGTTAATTGACTTTTCTTATATCAATTGATATTCGTTCGCAGCGCTTAACCAAAAAGATGCGATGGCTTTTTGATTGAAATCAATCATTGAAGATCGATCAGGCTCATTTAGTATTTCTGCTGGCCCCCTGTGCACCCATCATGGACCCTCGTGGGTCAGCGGACCCCAGTTTGGGAAACCCTGATACGAATCGGACTCAACTAGCCAGCAGCATGCCTTAACTCAGTGATTGGCTCGAATCTGATGACCTGTGACCTGACCCGTCAACACTGGTTAGAGATAGTCAGAGAAAGCTCCACTAATAAAGCAATATTTTAATTTAACAGAAACAAACTTATTACTGGTCAATTATTTTTCATAATGATTATTCCATGAAAATTACGAAAGGGAATATTTTCACATGATATTCCCATTATTCCAGCAAAAAATAAAAGGGAACACCGCACAGCAGTTATATCAGGGAAGGGATTGAATGACGATCTTTCCAATTGATATTAGTGCGAATAAATTGCAAAATTTGACATATTTGATAATAATGAAATTGAATAAAGTTCATTTTATCATTCAGGCTGTGGAGTTGAGTTCAGTTTACTTATTCTCCCTCATCAAGGTTTTCCGCTAAAATTTAGGAGTGCAATTTGAAGGTTGCGAAATATTGACATAGGAGTCAAATTTTTCCACTAAATAAACAAATAGAAATAGAAAACTTTTATAGTCAAATTACTTTTGCGCTCTTGTTCTCTTTCCAACCCCAAAGTCGACAATCTCAACTAAATCTGTTGGGGGTAAATTTTACCCAGATACACTGTACAAATGGATAACGCATTTACGGTAAGTCCTGGGCAATCAGGGTCATATGATCTAAAGAAGTGTTTCCCAACCTATAGGTCGCGACCCAAAATTGGTTTGCTTCGAAATTTTCTTGTTTCACTTACTTATTCAACATAAAACAGGAAGATTCATTTTAATTTTTTAGTTAGTTGATATTCATATTGAAGTGTTGCTCAGAGTATTTGTATACCTGTGAAAAATGACAGCTTTTTAAACTTGGAATCTGCTGTTTTGCTTTGGTAAAGCTGCGACATGAATTTAAAATCTCGATTATGGCAAATAAGCGCAGCTGTCTCACTTTGAGTTCATTTTTGAGAAAATAAATTTAAAGTAAAAATGGTTGTTTCATATTGTATATATATAAGACTATATAAAGCATAATCATTACATACTGCCCAGTATGAGTGCATCCTCGGGTCCCCAGATTCTACAAAATTTATTTTTCAAAAAATTTGGGTTACTTGAAAAAAAAGGTTGGGGTCCACTGATATATGGCATTGCAGTTGATAAATATGTCGGGATCACAACTTGCTCATGCTCTGTTCAGAGTCGACAAGAGGCTAAAACATTTACTTGGGTACTTTGTATAAATTGATCACACATTTGAGGTCTGATTAGAACAGGTAATATGACGGATATAATATTGCAATTCCTGAATATTCAAATACATTTTTATTTACGCTAAAAATTAAAGTATGGTGCCAAACCTGAAAATTAGGGAGGGTGTAGGGGAATCACTGCTGGTAATGGATATTCTGCGACTAAAGAAAAATGACCAGTTTGAACAGAATGTACGTACTTGCTCGAGCCTTGTTCGGAGTGGAAACAAAGAGTCAAATATATTTCTTCTAATGTTAATCTGTTGGCAAGGATATGATGAGACCAACAAATTAACCAGTTGAAGCAGAATGAGATTTAAGCTTGAATGACCATCATTAAAATTTATTCGATACATTGTTTGTAGATTCTAGTTGCAAAGGAACTTGGTGGATTCTAGCTGTTAAAGAAGTCGACATCGGTATCAGTGATTGATTCTTTGAATCCTTCCAACTGATCAGGGTTGAAGTTGCATTCCCACATCCACAATATTTTAACCTGACATTGATGAACAATTTCCCTGATTGTAGATAATCCTTCATCTCCGAGTCTGCTGACTTTGTTCCCACTCAGATCCAGACTCTTTAGCTGAAAATATTAAATTTAAAATTTTTAAATTATTAAGAACACCGCAAAGTTGATAAAATTTTCCTCAATGATACAAAATTTTTGAGTACTGAGTATTTGTACCAGTAGCAAACTGTCCAAATGCTAATATTTCATTCAACAAGAAATATTATTATCAATACTAATCCAGGTTCAATTTATTTTTAATTTCTACCGCCCTATATTTATGCACATAGAACTAAAGGAAAGTTTTAAATTCAACCAATCTCCCCTTCAAGCATTATTTTGAAGAACTGAGACCAAATAATTTTGATTTCCTGTGAAATTGAATTTCAATCGTGAATCATAGTTTGGTGTATTAGATATTAGATACCTGATACTACTAATAGGAAATGGGTTGATCTTTATCAGTCCAACTGAATTTGATTTTATCTTCCATTCGCTAACCAACCAGTACTTATGAATGTGGCACACCAGACCAGGTCGTATTTGAATTTATAGGCCGTTTGTTTTGCAATTTCCCACAAAGACCCGATTTTTGTGAAATCACCCCATTTTCATAAAACCAATATTTAAAAATGAATAACATGAATTTATCAAAGTACAGCTAACAGGAAATCTAGGTAAAATGCTGTAAACAGAAAAAAAATTTGTTGCACAGTGTTATCCGTCCAAGTAGACTTTAAATTTTTTATTCACTGACCACCAATACTTATGGACATGGGACATTGTTGGAACCAAGTCTTAAATCTTGAGAGAGACGAGCATTAATGTGAGACCTGGTAATGCCGAATAAATTATGTTTTTTTTTCATTATCAGACTAAGCATATCTTAGTTTTTGGGGAAATGCCCACATACTGTTGATACCAAGTCACAAATCTGGATTCAAGTCTCAAATTACATATACTCAGTACAGTTCTAGCTTTGTAAAGTCCAGGGATGGCCAATACCGAATAGTTCACTATTTCGAATACATTCGAAATTATTATTTTCGAATATGAAATTTCGAATACTTCGAAAATAAAATCCAGTAAACAAAAAATAATCCTAGTAAACAAAATCCTAGTAAACAAAAAGTCCAATTCCCGTTGTATTTTGTAAATACGAAAATAGGAATCAAAAATTAATATCAATCGCGAGTTTGCCTCACAATTTATGTCCACAGAATGCCGTGATATTGTGCCCGAATATAATTAATTTTTGATTCTTATTTTCGTACTCGAAAAAATTGTCACAAGTCGGAAAAATTATTTATACTTTATTACACATTCAAGTCCACAAATCGCCGTTGTATTTTTGAGTTATAATAGTTTTAATATTTTGTAAATACGAATCGGAAATTAATTATAATTGGGCAGTTTACCACACATTTCATGCCCACAAATACACGTGGTATTTGGTATTAATACTTTCATTATCGATACTTTTGACCATCATTATCAAAATTATTTTCCAGAAAGCGGGTGAAAGTATTTTTCTAATAAATCAACTTGTTTCCCAACTTGTGACAATTTATTGGATATCGTAACAATAACGGCTATAAATACCGTATTTCCCGGCTAATAAGTCTACATGGCAAATAGGACGATGTATATTTTTAGCACTCAAAAAAGGGGGTTTTCCATATAGGCCTCCAAGAAGACGGGTAGAAAAATTATTCCCTGTTGTTCAGTTATGCTAATATGCGCTGATAATAATGTTTAGAACCAGGTCACGTTTGTTTAGTAGAATCATACTCACAGAATTAACTATTTTTAACAATAAAGCGGTAATTTTAAGTTAAAAATCACAATCAGTTTGAACAATCTATAATTTTATAGGGTCAGAACAGAACCAGATCATGTTTGTTTGGTAGAACCATACTCACGGAATTAACTATTCTCAACAACGAAGCGGTAAATTTAAATTATAAAGCGGCAATCATTTTGGACAACCTATCAACCCGAATGTTGAAATAATTTTGGAATGTGATAAGTACCACACGGTACGTCCACGGGTTATGTCACAGCTGTGTTTCATGTCCCTGTCGTTTTCTGCTGAATCGGCAAAACCAAAGGGTCACAAATCACTTACTTTATCTCGGTGGCGGTGGCCGTGTTTTCTCTTTTAAGTAACGATAACCGGCCTGCGATTAAATATCATGATTGGCAGACCCATAAGAACCAAATATACGGTTCAACACAAATTATGCTTGAGAAGACTAATGCGAAAAATAAGCAGGCCACATAGAAATAAAATAAACATGCTTTCTCAATAAGGCGCCCCTCCCCCCAAAAAATCAAGCCAAAATTGGGTCTAGAAAAGCGACTTATTAGCTGGGAAATACGGTGATTGTCGATTTTTCGACTAATGGAAATGATTTTGTGAATTAAAAGACGAATGTCGGCAATGTCCACCAACGCAAACGTGCAAATGTGTCGCAACACTATGCGACGTACATTTGCGCTGAATATAAACAATCAAAATGTCGACTCTATTTCATCGTCATTACAATACGTGAGAAAGCGTAAAAAGTCGTTTGAAGATTCCGGTAAAACGAAACACCGTGTTTACGGCGAAAAGTGACTACTATTCGTAATTATTCGGAAATGAGCCGAAAAGGTATTCGAATACCTTGATATTCGAATAATTTCGAATATTCGATTCGTTTTGGACAACCCTGGAGCTCCCAGTCATAAACACAGTCTATCTTGAGTTATTGCTGCAACAAGCAAGTGAATTTATGATTTTTTCAATACAACATGGTAAATCATATTAGATCATTTTTTCATATTTTAAAGACTTGCACAACAATCTCTTCAAAGTCTCGAGTCAAATTTCCCAGGTGGTAACATGAAATTTGTCATTTTGATTGGTCGCGTCACCACAAGTCTTTGTAAGATTGTAACTTGAATACATAACTAGAATCTCTCAAATACTTATTTTGACTCCTACAATAATAGGTATATAAATATTGCATATTTATGTCCTATATATATATATATATATATATTATTCACTGACTGTGCAGAGCCTTGTCTCGAGAAAAGAGTAAACATTTCTTTCCTTCTAATAGCAGAACTTGGGAATAGTGATAGATAATGATCTCAATTTGTTTATACATGCATAAACATTCAAGCCTTTAAATCAGGTTCCCAAGCTTTTTTCAGGACGACCCAAATACAACTTTCACGTGTCCAGTGCGACCCCAGGTCGATATATATATTTTGGACCTGTTTTACAGTGAGCCATGGTACAAACTGCTAAATTTAATATGGTTTGTCAAATCTTAGATGCTTTGTACACCCATCCTCTACTATTGTTTGCGACCCTACCTATTTATCCCTCCGACCCAATTTGGGGTCGCGACCCCTGGTTTGGGAACCCCTGCTTTAAACCAAGCTATTGCTGCAGCAAGCTAGATAAGTTATGTTTTTTCAATACTACATCAATCAATATGGTACATTAGATCAGGGGTTCCCAAACTTTTTCAGCTTGTGGCACACTAACAACAAAATTAAAAAGGGCGGCACACTTATGACAAAGCAGGTTTTTTTAAATCCCTTATCCAAAAAGATAATGCGTTTCGGCAGTGAATAAGATTAAAACAACTCCGCATTCAGAGGTTGCCGACCCCTGGATATATGTCAGTATCCCACGAAATTGTATCATGACGAGAATTTTTTTATTTTTTTATTTTGGTGAAATTCAATATTTTAGTTTAATGCAAAATTTTTTTGAGTCTGTAATAATATTGTATATCGTGCGCACACTCTTTCATCTTCGTCCATGTTTCAATTGACAATATATTTTATAATCATGTTATATTTTATTGCAATTGAAGATAGTTGTGTGCGCCATGGTAATAAATTACAGCTGACATGAACGGATTTAATCAGCACCGACTTTTATTTATATCTGCTTTATTATGATAATATTATTAAAGCTTGATTACTATGTCCTTGGATTTTAGAAAACTTTCAATAAATTTCATGCTTTGTGTAACATTAAAATGTTTTCGGAACTCAAGATTCGAAAATATTTTTTCAGAATGTATTTTGAGTAGTCCAGTATTTGGTTATGGCCATCCCTATTAATAACCCAAATATTTTCAACAATGAGTTGTATTTGAAAAAAATTCAAAAACATGGAGGCTGTAATAAAACGCTATAGCATGACAAAACGAGACATCATAGTACTCGTTTCTAGTATGAAAAGGGACCAATATCTCCTCCCTCTCACTTGGTAGGCTAGTGCATCCCTATTCCCGAAGAATTATTCTCTGAGAAAGATAACATGCCAATGAGCATCGCATTGCCTTTATACAACTCATTACCGTTGAGCTGTACTGTTGCCATAAGAGACCGTGTATTCGAATATTCTGTATATTGTAATAACCGGTCTATAGTTGGCCGACTTGAGTCAAGTTGGAAAACCTTTGTACACCAAAGTGTGTGTGATACAACCTCGATAAACCAAAATTGTACTTCCTGAGCCAAGATTTCTCGTCTCTTACATAGTAAAGCAATAATGACCCAGGAGGATGAACAATTAAAACAACAACATTAGTAGTCAAATACACTAAACATATTGTAGGTCAGCAAATGTACTAATAAATAAATGCGGATATTCGAAAATATCGTCTGAAATCGGAAAGTGAAAACCATCAAAAATATATTGTTATTCTGTATCAAGTTATTCTTACTAGGTCCAAATAAGCAAATGCCTTATCTAATAATAAAATATTAAAAACGAAACAAAAAACTATGATATATTCATTCTTTTACCAATTATGGTTTGGGCATAAATTTAAGTGGAATCTAATATCGCTTTCCAAAAAAAACAATGGCTCCTACACTATTTGACCAAATTCTGACAATTTTTGCATGTGGCTTCCCCGACCTCCATTTTCTACCAGAGTATGCAGATATATATCTATCCGAACACAACGACATATACAAATTCATTCTCCCTCTCCCTTTAAGCATGCATCAAGAAATACTAATTTCCTCACCAAGCCTAAGCTGGAGTGAAATCGAGC